CAAGGCAGAGAGAGAGAGAGTCTTCCCTTACTCCCTCCTCGACAGCTTCTCGCCAGACTCAGTAGCCCCTTTGGACAGTGTGTGCTACGCTCTATACCAAGAGTTTGCAGCATTTATAATGCTGTGATGCTTCTAGAAAATATCTGCTAGGAAAGCATATGATATACAGAAAGACAATGGGCATCGCTTGTAAGGCCTCCCAGATAGTGGGAGCACCCGGAAATCTTCCTAATGTATTGAGTTCATTTTATTCCAGATGTCTCCCGGGGAGCACTGACCCTCCCAGTTGCTGTTACCGTTGTCCATTAGGCTGTCCCTGCAATTACTCCTTCTGCTTTCCCTGATTCTTTCCCAGATTGGCTTTGTCAACCCTTTTCTCATATGCGTGGCAATAGTGATCCGAATGGATCAATACCTCCATCATTATGACACTCCATTCTACTGACTAATGGCTAATGTGTATTCAATAATATATTTGTTGCCATTGATCACAAGTGCAAATTCATAATGTATCTGAGTGAGAGATGTGGATAGATGGGAACACACGCAGGGGATTGCAAAGAGGCGGGCAGTCCATTTGTTTAGAGCTGTTGAGCAGGTGTCGATTACATGTGTTCATCACGAGATATCCTCAGCTTTAGCCACTGTCCCTTGCCCTCTAGTGGCCCATAGTTTGATAGCGGGTGAAGATGCCTAAATGAATGAAGTATTTGAAGTACTAATGTAGAAAAACCCACATATCAAGAAGAGAAAGAATGGCAAGCTCAGAATCAGCCTGGGTTATAGAAAAAGACCTGGTCCATAAAGAAAGAAAAGATTCGCAACCTCTGGAGAAGGTGGCTGTGGAAAGATGGGTGTGGAAAGCTCTTGGGAGGGAGCAGGCAAGATTTCTGCATGGACAGAACACTTTCCACTGTGACATACGCGTCACTCACGCTAGCTTAAGTCACAGGTAGATGTTTCAGTGTTGATAGTTTAGGGACTCAGAGGATAGTTCTGGTTTTATGCCCAAGTAGACCTAGGGCCCAAACAATGCTTTGGGATCCTGTTCTCTGTCTTTCATCTGCTCCTCTCTGCATGACCTCATTGTCTCCAACATAGACGCCTTACTTCCATGCGATTGGCCAAATGGCAACTGGGACAAGTGTCCCCCAGTACTCAGAGGAAAGGAGGGGTTCATTCTCTTGTCCTAATACTTGGTGTCTGTCCTTGGAAACATCACATTCTACTTATTCCTGTCCTTCCTGGTCCTGCAGCTGTTCAGTCCCAAAGAAACACACAGAGGTCTACATTAATTATAAACTGATTGTTAGCTCAGGCTTCTTATTAACTCTTATAATTTATATTAGCCCATAATTCTTTTTGTGGTTTTTTTTGTTGTTGTTGTTGTTGCTGTTATTTTTTCAAGACAAGGTTTCTCTGTAGCTTTGGAGCCTGTCCTGGAACTAGCTCTTGTAGACCAGGCTAGCATCGAACTCATAGGGATCTGCCTGCCTCTGCCTCCCAAGTGCTGGATTGAAGGTGTGCACCACCACTGCGTGGCTATCCCATAATTCTTATCTGTGTTAACCACATGGCTTGGTACCTTTTTCGGCAGTCACATCTTGCTTGCTCTGTGTCTGGGTGACGACTGCAAACTGACTCTTTCTCTCTTCCCAGAATTCTCTTCGCCCCACCTATACTTCCTGCCTGGCTACTGGCCAATCAGTGTTTTATTAAAATACAATTGACAGGGTACAGACCATTGTCCCACAGCAATTTTGCCATCCCTTACATCAGTCACCATTGCAACAAGATAAAGGCATATGATTAGTTCAGGCTGACTCGTGTATAAGTCTGGCTGGCAGGATGAGCAGGGGCTTGTGACTAACCATGACTGGCAACCCACGGGTGCCTTTTACACCTGCATTACAGCCTGGTGGATATTTAAGTTGAGCTTTCAAAGGTGGGATAGTTTTTGTCAAATGAAGCAGCAAGAGGCCTCCATTGTTGCTAGAGAAAGCATTAGGAGTAAAGCCAGAAAGACATGTGCCAGCTCAGCAGGTCAGGCAGCTTCAGGGGGGTGTTGAGGTCGAAGAATATGGACTGAGGGTTGCTCCTTATGGTGAAGCTGTGGGATACTCAGGACAACCTTTTAGGCCATGCTGAGAAGTCTGGTCTTTGCAACATAGCAGTAGAGATGTCTGGGTTTTAGGTAGAATTTTGCTGTGGCCTTCTGTGGAGACACATGCCTGTAATCCCAGCACTCAGAAGGTTGAGGCAGGAAAATGATGAGTTCAAGACCACCCTGAACTACTCAGTGAGACCTTGTCTCAAAAGTAAAGAAAGAGTACCCCTCTGGTAACAACTATAGACTTCTGCGGGAGGACCTTCTGCTCCTTCAGCCAATAGCTGCTGAAATAGGGGTGTGGTCTATTTATCTTTAAAAAAGAGCAGCAAGCCTCGGCTCGCTCTCTTGGTTCCGGCACTTGGTTCCGGTGACTAGGCTCCTTTCCTGACAGTTGGTGCTTTGTGAGTTTTACTCCCCAAAATAAATACCCCTTTAAATCCTAACTGGAGTGGGATTGTTTGGCGCCTTAATAGACAGACACTGGTTAATGGGTACCAGAAAGGAAATCATTACAGTAATTCAGATGGAACTGAAGTATAAACGTTTAAGCTTCTGGTATGCTAAAAGGCCTAACTAGAATGTCTACATTGGTGTCATTAAGAAAAACACACAGAGGGTGGGATCAACAGGACCCTCATCTTTCAAGAAAATGAGAGTACGGGATGATTTGTGAGAGCAATGTCACTTGCTGAGATGAATACAGAAGGACCAGGTGTGAAGAGAGGATGAGGAGGATGAGGAGTGAGGTGCCCGCTGCATGTATTCATGGTAACAGAACACTGGATTTGCCATCCATCACTATCACAGGATGCTCCATATGGGGATGTGAGCTAAGAGGAGCGGCAGGATTGTGGAATTATGGGATTGGTGAGACCGAAGGTCTCAAGAGTTCGTGGTTTGCTTTTGGTTTAGGGAAGAGGAAATCTGGAATCAAAAGCTAGTCAGCTGAGAGACAGTTTTCTGAGTCCATGGTGGTCCATGTAAGCAGGTGTCAGGGACCAAAAGTGTGTTCCTCTAGGGCGCCCCACTCAAGCTCCTGTGATTTGACTCATGCCTAATTCCAAAGAGAGGTAGATGGCAGACTGTGGTGGTGGCAGACTCTGGGGGCCCAGCTTGCTTATTAGCCTAATAGGTACTAATTGTCCTGATTAGCGAATGGCTTGTCAACATGAGGGCATCTTAAGAGTTAACATTTTCCATACATAAAAAGGTGCAGGGGTAGGAAAGCATAGGAAAGTTGTGGGAAAGGCTATACACACAGAACCCGTGGGTCATAGGTACATTGTAGACACACCATATTGTATCCTGTTGTGGATTTAAATGCAGGAAACCTGCAAGTCTTGGTAGTCAGTGATCATGAATGATAAAGTCTAATAAACTTGCTCTTTAGGATCCCCAGGACCTGGGTAGAGGTCCTTCCTTATCATGAAGTATCTCAAAGATGGGCTTTTCACGTGGGCTTTTCCTCCTGAACCCTGCTTTTCCTGTCTACTGTCAGAAATGTGATGCTTTGGGGTATTCTCTGGGATTCTGAAGTATCAGTGATATGCTCTTGACTGGAGTCCTTTGGAAAACGATTCCTAAAACACCCACAGGTCTAATTTGGCTATGAAATTCTGTCCCTACCTAGATATTGCATTCTAGTGACTCAAGATCATGAACTGATATTTCTCAAAATTTATGTATTACATTGATTTGAATAGCAGTGATCTCCAGAAACACAGCACTACATAAAGCAAAGCTTCCATGAACACTAAGCGTGGCAGCCAGACTTCAACATCACTGTGTCCCCCAGGGTTTGGCTGTTGTATTGTGAAACGCCCATATGTCCTGCCTAGCAAGTTTCTCCCTATGCTGGACTAAAGGGAAGTGATCCACTACCGAGCATCTTTCAATAAAACACTGCTGTATACTTCAGCAGCGAAACACTGGCAGGTCTGCTATGAGAAGGGCCAGGCCTCTCTGTTCTTATGAGTCACGTTCTAGGCTGTTTATTGTCTGCGCTGGCAAAGTATAGAGAAAAAAAATGTGAGGTATGCATTCCAATGGAATAATGGTGGTAGAAACACATCCCTCTTAGCCGGGTTTCTAGGCATTTCCTAGAAATGAATGGGTCGCAAAGGAAATAATAGCGGGATAGTTGTGAATGAATGCTTGCTGCATGACAAGCACTGTTCCAGGCTTCCTATATATGTCGTCTCACACATAAAGACACATTTCAGCCATGTGGTTTGGGCAGTCTCCGTTCAGGAGACCCAGGAGGCTAAAAACTTACTTAAGGCACATAGCAATAGGCAGAGCCAGTGCTTAAACCCAGGCAGATCCTCGTTTGGTTTACCTTCACCTCAAGCAAGCCCCACCCACATGAAATGCTTTGCCACAAGGCTTGCTTAAGGAGGGACCACCCCTCTCGTTTGCCTTGTTTAGAGTGTCCGGCTTGATGATTTATTTTTCCAAATTTAAAACTGTACTATATTATATATGCATGTGATTTGAATGAAAAGAATCCAACCCTAGAACCCCCTCCACCACCACCACCATTTCATCCTGTCTGCAGCTTGTAACTGCATTGAGACATTTGTAGTCTTTGTCTCCAAATTAGCCCAGCACAACACAGAGAACAGTGGGGTGTAAGTGTGTGTGTGTCCTTTCCTTCTGAATGAAATTGCTTCTCATGGAGCCCACCGCAGACACATTCAGAGAAGGCTGCTGCCTGCAGTCCACCCGGCAACGGTGGAGCAGGTGACGCTGCGTGCGCCCAGCCTCTCTGGAAGTGTCTGCACAGATGTGTACCGTTTCCACTCCCTCTCCCTGCCTTCGGATTCCTGGAGCCAACACCCACCCACTCTGACAGCCTCTCTTTCTCTCTCTCTCTCTCTTCCTTTTCAAGGAAAAAAGAAAGAGGCAGACAGAAATCGAAGGGAAGAGAAGGCAGCTGGACGAGCAAGTACTGCTGCTGCAGCATTCCAAGGTAAGCAGCCGAGCCCAAACCTGGGCGTTATCAGCCCTGCAGATCACACCTCTCAGAGCCGGGCAGAGCTTGCCCTGCTGTGGAGGTGCAGCGCTGCCTGAGTCAACCTTTTCCGTGCAACCAGGAGACCGTCTCTTGGCTTTCTGTGTAATTTTTCTCAGATTCAGGCATCCTTAGAGCATCCTGATTTCTGCGAGCAGGAGATTACATTGCTGCTCCGAGCAGCATGGTAGATATATATAGAAACTGGATGCGAAGAGTCCACATGGTCCCGCGGTTGTTTCTCTTGTGTATTTTGTACAGAGGCTCCAAAAACTGCGCTTCACACACATAATAGACTTTTCGGAAAGGAGAAAGAAAGACTCTTTCTTACTGGGGGGGGGGGGGTGAGGGGAGAGACGAGCCAGTGTGATCTAATAAAAGGATGATACTGCACATTTCAGATGGTTTATCTATTTTATTTTGACTTTATAACATTGGAGATGTCCTGTTAGAACAAGGTCAAACCTGGCTTTCAAATGATTTGACTTAGTTCAGTGTCTGTTGTACCTTATTAAGGAGAGAGAGGGAAGGGGAACCGTTTTGATTTTTTTACCCCTTTAAAACATAATGCACTTACGCACTGTAATTGATTACAGTGGAGGGGACAGCTCAGTCACTGTCACGAACGCCCTGCCAGTGGCTGAATATTGCTTTCTGCATGTTCAGATAATAATGTGGCCACGTTCATGGACCAACCAGGAGTTGTTGCTTGCCTCTGACTGTCCTGGGCTTTAAAAAAAAAGGAAAGAAAAAGAAAGAAAGAGAGAAAGAAAGAGAGAGAGAGAACCTCCCGCTGGCCTCAAGTTGCCATGACCTTGTGTGTGCAGAATTGCTTTTCTTGAGGACTGGTTGGGAGGTGGTTGCTGCCCTGTGTGCATTATTGGGACCCTGTGACAGAGTGGGCCTTGACCCTTGCATGTCTCGTTCTCTGGAAAGCCAGGCTGTGCTAAAGGAATCCTCAGAGTGAGACTCATGAGCGAGCTGGCTCATTAACCAGAAGAGCAGCCCGACCTATATCTGCTCAGCATGCTTGTGAGTTCACCGCGAACTTTAACCAGAGACATGTGTTCCAGAGGGAAAAAGGCAGCATGGTGCTGATTGTCCTTTTTCTGTCTGTCCTGTCGCTCCATCTCCAGCCTTTCCTGGTAGTGGCCCGCACTGTGTTCAGATGCTGTCACTGTTTCCTGACAACAGTTTTGGGGGAGGACTGGGGCTAAAATTAGGAATATCTTTCTATGGAGGCAGGGCTTGCAAACACTAACAAGACGGCACAAGGCCAATCTGGAGAGAGCAGGGTCTCTGGCCCAGAGTGCAGCAGGCATTCCACCTGCTGTAGAAGAGAGACTGAGAACTCGGTTAATCACAGGCTAAAGGAGTGGATGCTTCAGCTGACAGCCTCTCTCCTCCCAGCTCCAGCACATCACAATACCTTTGTGGTCCTTAATTCAAAGTCAGAGGGTGAGCATGTCAGAGACCATGTTCCTTTCCTCCCACTTGTTATCATTCTGAGTGCCAGAGAAGATGCCAAGGACTCATTCATTGCTGGTGTCCAGCACAGTCTTAAACTATTCTGTTCATGCTCCATGCATCCCTTCCTCATCCCTGCATCCACCTACCCACCCATCCAGTTTAAAGAAACAATAGGACTTCATTGTATGTGAGGAAGCACTGAGGTTCCATAAGGGACTTGGCAGCATAAGCATCAGCCTGAGTCTGGCTGGCAAAGGTATATGCAATACTTGCATCATGGTAATCTGGCGAATGGGAGATGAGATGGGCTGAAGGTGATTGTTAGCTTAGTAAGCAGAGACCACTGTGTGTCTTTTCCTCTCTTGAAGGAAGGCTTGTGTAGTATGCGAATGGATCACTAGCCTCAAAAACTAAAAACCCAAAAGCTCCAAAGACCTAAAGCTCCAAAGACCCAAAGCTCCAAAGGTGGCAGTGTACCTCAGGTACCACCCACAGGAGTGTCCCGTTTCTAATCACTGGGAAAGCAGGAATATTGATAAGGCAAAGAGAGGCTTACTGTGTTCACATAAAGCAGCCGGGATTCTATCTTCCTTTGTTCTGAGCTCAGCCTTCCTAAAGTGGCTGTCTGGTTTTCATAGGCAGAAGAGGGTACCTAACTGCGGGATGGGATCTCTTCGGTTACCAGAAGGGAGTGAGTTCTGCTTTAAACGAACTGACTGTTGGCAGAACTGCATAGTGAGTCATCTTCCCTACTGTCAGTCAGTTTCCAGCCTGATGGTCAACCCCTGGGTGGAGGAAAACGTGCTCAGGTTGTTCTCCTTCCTGTGTGAACTTTTCGGGGGAGGGCTACTTGCTTCCCCCACATCCCAGGAGCCTCCACACTCCTGTCTGCTCAGAAATATTTACCATTCTAGCATCTGCCTGGGTCTTCAAACTCTCAACAAACATCACAAGATAGATGTCACTCTCTGCATCTCCCAGTCTGCAAACAAACTCATGATGGCGAGGAATTTGCTCAGGGGCACACAGTCTGTTAAGTGAGGGAGGCTAAGCTGAAGCCCAGGGCTGTCTGTTCCCATGGACAAGGCTCTTCCCAGGACGCTGTTCTCTTCCAAAGGATGGGCTCTTTTAGGCGATTTGCCAGACAGGTGCCAATTGCCATCACCACTGTCTCTCTTACTCTCAATACATTTCATAGGCTACAGAAGATTTAGAGCAAGTGCAGACATGTCAGCGTGATTATATTATAGGTTCTTTAAAGTAGTCAACATTAGGAAAGACGTCAGTAAATGACATTTATTTCGCAAATTTACATAATCCCAGACACTCTTGGAGAAAGTAAATATTCTCTGTGCAAAATCAATTAGAAAAGCATTAAAACTGGGTTTCATATTTATTAAGATACAATTTTGATGTTCATGGTATCCCTCTCGTATCTGTATTTACATATATTCACATATCAAATGGATTATGGATGGTTATTGTCATACACTGAGATATGAATTATTTAGATAGACCTACTGGTCTCCTGTCAAAACAAATAAATAGAAAGCAAGGAACTGGTGTGGGCACGGGTCTGTTTGCTAAATATTCTTGCTCATTGTGACTTTTGGGAGTGTATGGTAACACAGCCTACAAATCACAACCCCAGAGAACCTAGACAGCAATGAGGATACTAACGGAGAAATATATGGATCTAATCTACATGGGAAGTAGAAAAAGACAAGATCTCCCGAGTAAATTGGGAGCATGGAAGCCATAGGAGAGGGTAGAAGAGGAGGGGAAAGAAAGGGAGGGGAGCAGAGAGAAATATATAGCTCAATAAAATCAATTTTTTAAAAAAAAGAGTGTATGGTAATGCCACAGAATAGGATACCATGACTTTATATGGCAACTGTGAGCAGTTGCTTACTGAGGAATTCATACAATTGACCAGTGTATGAAATATTACAGCCATGACAGGAAACTTCTAGGTGCTGTGTTTGGGTACTTATCTTTAGTTAAAAGCTAATGTTTTATGTAAGAATTCCCAGGAAATACTCAGAAATTAGCCCAGTAAACAATTCTGATGGCTTTATTAGTTTTGCTTGTTTATAAGACGAAGGATTGTGTCATCATTTCAAAAACAAAGAATGAGAACATCCTAAGACAGCCAACTGCACACTTTCCATGCGGATGTTCCCCTGACAGGCATGTGATTTATAGAACCCCACTTATTGCTATAGATTGGAATGTGCAGTCTTGGTTACAGGCCTCATCAGCCTTGGAGTGAAATTAATTTATATTGACATTTGTATCCAAATTGTCTTTTTAAAAACATTTTATATGTGGGCTCTTTTGAATTCTCAAGCCATAATTTTTATGAAATCTTATCTGCCATTGTGGTACTCATGTTTTTTTTTAACCATACTTGGGGCTGGGCAGTGGTGACCCACACCGTTAATCCCAGCACTTGGAAGGTAGAGGCAAGTGGATCTCTGTGAGTTCAAGCCCAGCCTGGTCTACAAAGCGAGGTGAGTTCGAAGACAGCCAGGACTGTTACACAAAGAAACCCTGTCTCGGAAAAAAAATCATACTTGGGAAGATTTTCATCTCAAATGTTTGCCCACAAGCTTGTCTATACTTCAGTAGTTTGAATTTATCTAGAATTTATCTTTCAATAAGGTATGAGGTAAGGATAAAGCTTTATGTTTTCACTCTCAGTGAGCCGTCAGCATGATTTATTAATTCATCCTTCTCTCATTGATTTAAATGTCATCTTTATCACATGCATATTTCACCCTTACACCCAAGTCCACCCCTTGTGATTTGTTTCCTTCCATTTATCTGCTCACTCCTGAGCTGGTACCGTTCTCATCTAATCCCCATAGTTGTGGTAATCTATTGTAATGTTTCAGGAAACAAGAGCCATCATTATTCTTTTGACAAAAATGGTTTTGGTTTCTAATCTATGGAAACAGTGATTTATTTTTATTTTTTCATATAATATGACTTGTGATAGCGTGAATTAAAGAAAAAATAAATCAGTGAATGTCTTACACCAGCCCAGGCTGAACTTAATTTTCCTCTTTTGCCCTTTGGTTGAATGGCTAGAGATTTGTCTATGTTATTAGCCTTTTCACAGTCCCAGGGTAGAGTCTATGTTCCATGTGTATCACAGCATGCATCCCTTGGGACGGCCACATTGTGGAGTGTTGATCAGCACTGTCAGAAACAATTGCTAGCGTCACATCTTCAGTCTTTTTCAGGGGCGGGCAATTCTGACCAGAGCTTTCTCCTCTGTAAAGTTGTCGTTACATTCTGAAGACCACAACCTTTCCTTTAGGGACAACAGAATGGTGGTGGGGGTGGGGGACACCAAACACTAAATTGTGGCTGAGAAAAATATTCATCGTCAACCCATTAAGATCATTTGCTGAAAGCTCTTAAGGTATCAGGAGCTTTATTGCAAAGATATTAAGGTATCTTTTACTATCTTGAACCTTTAACACTAATTCAGTTTTTTCTTGGGTATTTGTAAGTATAAAGCTCCAGTGTTAAAAACGTAAGCATTCTGGGCCAATAGGATGATGCACTGGTGAAGGTACTTGCCTCGGAACTTTTCCTATCATGTCCATGTACTGCACTCTGAATTTGAGTGAAGGGTAAGACTCCATCACTTTCATTAGAGGTTTTGGATTGGCTTCTTCCAAATTATGAAAACAAAAACAAAAACCCTCTGAACCAAAGCAATATCTTATTGGGCATAACAAGGAGGAAAGGGAAAGACTCGAGGGTTAGGAGAAGAGGGGAGGGAAAGGGTATGAGAGAGCAAGGAGTCAAAGCAGATAACAGGCTGGGAAGATGGCTCAGTGGAAAAAGTGCTTTCTGTGCAAGCCTTGTATCTGAGTTTGCATCCCTAGAAACCATGTAAATGCCAGGTGGGCATGATCACCTGCCTACAATTCCAACCTTGAAAAGCCAGGACAGGATTCCCCAGAGAGATCTGACTAGCAAAACTAACCAAATTAGGAAGCTCTGGGTTTGATTGATTACTCCCTCCTCTGTGGGTCAGGTGGAAAGAGCAATTAGGTATGGTTCTTGACATCAACCTCAGGCCCCAACGTGGATATATACATGTCCATGCATGCCTACACCCATGCATAAATATGCATATATACAGGCATGTCACATATACACACACAGAGAAATGGGGAAAAGTAGAATATAGCTATTGTATCACTCTGAGTCTTAGCTACTTTCTTTTAGAGAAGTCGAGTTATCCACAGTCTAACCATCACCCACAAATGCAGTCAGTGATAACTTTAGTATGGTTACAGGTGGATGGATGGTCTTGGAGTGAAGGATAAACTCATGAAAGGTAGGGAGCAAATCCTATCTCCAGTCGCTTTAGCTATGCAGTAATCACTTAGAGGTGCGAAAAAAAAATCATGTCTTTAAGTTACCATTGAAAACAACAAATTGAATACTATAAGTTCACCTTTATCTTATTGGCATAGTATTTTGCCTATGTGAATGCGTGTGAGTCACTGAAGGGTTTTATTTATTTATTTATTTTGAGGTGGGTGGGTTTTGAGACAGGGTTTCTCTGTGTAACAGCACTGACTGTCCTGGAACTCACTCTGTAGACCAGGGTGGCCTTGAGCTCCCAGAGATCCCCCTGCCTCCACCTCCTGAATGCTAGGATTGAAGGCCTGTGCCACCACACCTGGCTACTAAAGGGTTTTTTTAAGAGAAAGCATGACATTGGACTTTTTAAAAAGACCATTTCAATATGGACTGGATGTCACATAGGCTTAGAAAATCTTACAATGGGGCTATAGTGGCATAGAAAAATGTCCTTGTCATTTTTGAGACTCAGATTCAAATATCAATGAGAGAGATGTCATGGTGTTCAAGATTTGCTTTAAAATGCTTTAACAGCAGGGCTAGGTAGATAGTTCAGTGGTTAAGAGCACATACTGATCTTACAGAGGACCTAAGTTTGGCTCTCAGCACCCACACGCCGCAGCTCGCTACAACTGCCTGTAACTCCAGCTCCACAGGATCCAGCGCCCTCTTCTGGATTTTTAGTGCACCTGCACTCACATATGTGCACACACACACACACACACACAAATACATACACACTAAAAAGCTTTAAATAAATTGTTTAAAAGCCTTGATAATGTGGAAATATCGCAAGATATTCACAATTATTAAATCTGGGTATATATTTTTATGTTTACTCTATTTTTTATTTTTTAAAAAAAGAATGGTTAATAATAGAAAGCACAGACACCAACCACACTCTCTCAAGGTCATCCTTTCCCCAGGTCAGGGCATCAGTAAGGCTGGTGCCTTACTTCATGTAGGTCTCTGCTGAAATGTCACCTCATCAATGAAGCCCTTGAGACCCAGCTCATAAATACAGCAATGCTTTCTTTATTCCTCTCCCTACTTCCTGAATTTGCAGAGTCATTGTGGGGGTGCATCTATATGTGCATGCATGTGTGTGAGTATATATATGGGAATACACACATATGCATGTATCTGCATATGTGAGCAGAAACTATGCCTTCTTTCCCTTCTTACTGGAATAGAAGGTGTGTAAGGCAGGAATTGGTTTTTTGTTTGTTTGATTGGCTTGTTGTTTGGTTGGTTTTTGGCAACCAGACTAGTGCTGGGTAGGTTCTCAATAATTACACAACTGAATTTAAGAACATAATAAAACAAAAAGATGTAGAAAAAGCACAGTCCAGGAATCCTAGTTGCTTGGCCAAGCAGAAGTAGACAGCCATGGCAGGGAGTCAGCCAGTGGTCAGTCTGAACGGCTGAGTGGTGGATCTGATGGAGAAGACCTGCCAGTCCGGAGAAAGTGTGGGCCCAAAGGTATCATCTTACCTGTTGTCTTCCCTCCTTCCCACAGTCCAAAGTGCTCCGGGAAAAATGGCTGCTGCAGGGTATGCCTGCGGGAACAGCGGAGGAGGAGGAAGCCAGGAGGCGGCAGTCTGAGGAGGATGAGCTCAAAGTCAAGCAGCTTGAAGATAACATTCAGAGGTAGGTGATTCCCGGTCTGCAGTAACTGCTGCTCTCCTGTAGGGGCCACTTCCTCTGTGCTTCGACCTTTTCCTGGGGCTGACGACTTGCCTTCCTAAATAGATACTGGTTGTCTAGCTTCTGTGTAAATCAGTGTTATTCCTAATAATGCTAATACTGTATTGGTCTATAATACACTACAGAGATGTCTTCCCCAGGCAATGAGGTATTATAAGAAGTTTGCCCTTTGTCAAATGCTCTTTGCAGCTCTCCTATCAGCTTTTGTCTTTTCTCTTTGTCAGTCTGGCTGTTGGCTGCTGTGGCCACTGTGAAGGGTTTCTGCATAGATTCACCCCATGTGATCGGTTGAGATAGGAGAATTGCAGCCAAGGCTCTTGGAACTACGATAAAGAGAGCATAGGAAGGAAGAGGCTGTGTGCCAGAGCTCGGTAGGTCAGCTTTGCTCGGCTCCTTGAACTGCTCAGCGAGGGCATCCCTTCCCTGACTGCCCTCAACCAGCTTCTGACTATTTTGATATAGAAGATAGGCAACCTGTCTGTAACCAAGAAACTGATCAGACCCATTCATAAGCAAAAGGAGAGGCTTCTCTTTGGCAACTCTAACTGTCCCAGGCCTCAGGACACCTAGACAGAGGTAGGAGCTGAGGATGGAAGGTAGCGTGTATACAACCCTTAGAACCGAGTCTCTCCAACCAACCAATTCCACCAAATTCTGCCTGAGCCCTTCCCTCTGGCCCTCCATCTCTTCCTGAGGCTGAAGCAAAGGCTTGACAGATGCATCAGGAGGCAGGAGAAACTCCAGATCAAGACCAGTTTAGGATACATAGTGAAATCCTGTCTCCAACTAACTAACCAACTAACTCACAAGTGTGTCAGGTCTCTAGGTTATCAACCTGTGGGTCGTGACCCCTTTGGGCCATATATTGATACCATGTATATCTGATGTTTGCATTACAATTCATAACAGTAAATAAATTGTACTTATGAAGTAGCAACAAAAATAATTCTATGATTGGGGTCACCAAAACATGAGGAACTGTAGTAAAGGGTCGCAGCGTTAGGAAGGTTGTGAACCACTGCTCTAGAGGAACAGAATTGAGAGAATGAATATATTTTAAAGGGAGATTAGATTGGCTTACATGATAAAGTCTAGATCAGTCAACAATGATTAACAAAGGAGATACCAAGAATCTGGTAGCTATTCTGCCCACAGTCTCAGTGTGGCGCTGTAGGCCTGGCGGATTCTGCGAAGAGATGTTGGTCTCCAGTCTACATGTAGAAGCCCAGAGAAGCTGGTGCTGCTATCAGTAAGGAAAGCAGCAATCGCAGCAATAGGTTAGAGTGGAGGATGAAGAACTCATACATAGGTCTTTGGAAACTTCTTGGAGCCCTTTGAAGAGCGAAAGGACCCAGACAGAGAAAAGAAGCCATCGTGAACTGAGGAGTGAGTGGCTAAGTGAGCCCCCGACCCAATGTCAGGGGCTGCTCTGCCTGGCCTGCCAGGAACTGGACTCATAGGCCCTGGATTTGTACCAGAGAAGCTGTGTTCTCAGGGCTCTTGTGTATGAGCAAGGCTGTTGTGTGCACCTTCTCCTCCTCCAGGCCTCCTGATAGTCCTTCCTACTCTGGAATTTGATTTCTGCTTCCCCTCCTCTTGTATTCTTTCCCTGGTAGATTGAGTCACTGTTGTGCAACAGGCTTGGGATCAGAGATGTTTACATTTGAGATTTTAATATTTTCTTATTTCAGCACCTTTGCTATATACAATGAGATGCCTTGGAGATAGAATCACAAAATGTGTTTGTTGTATACATATACCTTATATGTAGTCTGTAGGTAGCCTTTTCATAGTTTTTCATTTAAAACAAACTTTGTATATTGACCCATTGAGGGCAGGTAAGGAGAGGTCTGCTTGTCAATAGTCATGAAGGTTCAGATATGGAAGCATTTCTAATTGTAAGCCTTTGGATTAAGTATGTTCAACCTTTATAGGCTTTCATGTCTTGACATCCCAGTCCCAAGGGAAGAAGGGGACTGCCATCCCTCATGCTGTCAGGAACACTCATTCCCCTGGGATACTTCTATGGGGTTGGGCACAGTTGAGTTCTGTCTCAACTCAACAGAAGGCTATTGGAACAGCTGTCAGGCTCATGGTAGACATAAGCTCCCTGCTGTGTGACAAAGTCTAAGGCTTGGCCGCAGGTCTCCGCTTGCTTTGGTTGAGCTCAGCTAAATGGCTCTAAGCTGTAGGTGGGATGCATCTGCTTTTATTTTCTGCACACCAACAGGCTGCTCTTACTGTCTTTCTCTGGCAATAACAAAGGGACTGGAGAGATGAGCAGAAACAAGGCCTCCACTTAGAACTGCCCATAAACTAGAGGCTAAAGCATGCTGGTAGCCACTCCCTGTGAAGAAGAGAAGATAGGGGATCAACTTTTGGTGGAGGAAACGCAGATAAGAGAAGGGTAAAGGGTGGGGGCGAATAAATCCATCTTCCATAATCATGATTGTTGAGCTGAAAAGGGAAACCACAGAAGAGTCAGTTATTGAGAAAGAATAAAAACTCAAACAGCACAATAGGGGCAGAGGCAGTGAGGGAAGAGGATAAAGAGAGGTTTGGGGGTCCCATCCAGAGTCTGATCTTTACTGAACAGGAAAACCCAGAAGTGACTTACAGACAGGATGTCACAGAGCCTCTGAATAAAGGAATTTATGCAACCAAACATCACTCTGTAGCTCCAGCCTTCCACCCACTGCTCTGAGCTCTGAGTCACTCCCTTGCAATGCATTAGATTCTCTTAGAAGGGACATGTGGTTCTGTTTGCGAATACTAAAGTAAGCCCAGCATGGCGATGTGGTTTTTGTAGTCTCTATACCCTGGAAGTGGAAGCAGAAAAATCCAGCAGTTCAAGGTTATCTTAGGCCAGTCCTGGCTGCCTGAGATCCACTCTCCATTCAAACTGGGTGTAGCTCAGTTGGTAGAGCACTTGCCTGGTATGCAGAAGGTCCTGGGTTTGATCCCTAGCTCTGTATACACCCATATACATCAGTTACAGTGGTGCACACCTGTATCTCAACACTTGGGAAGTGGAGTCAAGAGGGTGATAATCTGAAGGCCATCCTCTGCTACCTAGAGAGTTTGAGGCCAGCCAAAGAGGAGGGCAAGAGCCTTGCCCCTAGAGGAGGTAGCTCGTCACTGTTTTCTGCTCTCTTCTGGGTTGTGGCAATCAGCATTCTGTTCTTGACTTGCTGGATATCAATGAGGCAAAACAAACAAACAAACAAAACAACAACAAAACAACCGATGAGGGTCGTTGAAAGAAGATTTTATACACATTCCTTGTGTTTTCAAAAACAAATCTCAGATGCCAACTTCTGTGGGCTTTGCTTCCTGTTGGAATATTCTACTGAGGAATCCCACAGTCAACTATTATCAGTGTCTCGGCACGGCTCTACAGTCACACCGGACCTCACAGTGGTGCTCTTGGAGATTTTAGGCAGCCAGATCCAGGATAGCTTGCTCTGTTTCCTATCTGTTCCCGTCAACAGGCCTTGTGGGTTTTTTCCCCACTTTCTAATGTAGTAATGCATTCATGATTTTTCTCACTGCTGTGGCAAAATACCAGACAGAAACAACGTAAGAGAGGGAGGGTTTGTTTGGGGTCCTGGCTTCGAAGGGGTCGCAGTTGTCAGGCTCCATGCGCTTGGATGAGATATCGCAACAGCGGGCACGTGTGGCCGTGGCTGTCCTCATGACAGAAAAGACCAAGAGAGGAGAGAATGCTGGTCCTCTGCTGGCTTTCTTCATTTTCTTTCTTTATTCCACCGAGGCCCCCAGCTCTGGAATTGGTGCTACACACATTCAGGTCGGGTCTCATTTGGGAACACCCTCACTGATACATTCTGGAAGAAGAGGTGGAGGGAGAAAAAGAGGGATGGAAATGGAAAAAGAAAGGATGGAGAGAGAAAGAGGAGGGAGAAGCCCCAGCTCACCAACTAACTGCCTAGGTAACTTGAAATCTAATCTAGTTGACAAATGGAGCTTACCCATCATAAATTAGGTCTTATTCAAAGGTATAGTGTATGCTTAAATTTCATTGATTAATGATAACTTGAGACAAAATTTGCTCCTCTCTCTCACTACTTGGAATTATCCCAGTGAAGCTGGGAAATATCCCGGAATAGTAAATGAAATAGAATGAACTCTCAGCTCTGTGGGCAGTTCTCTTGTGTGACTGGGCAATCTCTCACTGTCTCTGGCCTCTTTCTTCATCTCTTCAGTGAGAGGTCTCTGGGGATCGTCTAACCATGACATTTTGAGGTTCTCTCATCTGAGGAGTTGGCTAGAGAGCCTTCCTTTAAACAAATACACCTGTGCAAAGAAATGTCCCTGGGGTGGCAGGAAGTGGCTTTGGATACAGGTCAGAATATGGGGGAGGTGTTTATAAGTTCTCAGGAAACAAAAGGCCCATTTGTAAGTAACTGATTCACTGCAGAGATGACTAACCCATCCGAACAGCTGTCAGTTCGAAAATATGTCACATCAAATATTCACTGAATAAAATATTGAAGTCTCAGTTGCTAAGCAGGAGAAGGCCATGTAGCTTTCAAAACAAAAAAAATATCAAGATACAAGATACAAGTGGGTTAGTACACTTTTTCTCTGATTGTCTCTGATGCTTATCAGAATGCATTCTTAAGAGTTTCCAAACAGGTAGAAACCTTAGGCTTGAGTGTGTATGCGTTGTGCCATGGGATTTGGCAACCGCTAAGACAGCCCTCACTCATGGCTATTCTGGAACCAGGACCCATGGAAATGTTCTTTGAAATTACAAAGGATGCTTACTTGGGATTCACTGTGTTCTCTGGACTTGTTATTTTTAGCTCTGTGGTGTGCTGTTCTTTTGAAGTAGGCACGGGACAGTCCACACTGGCATGCTCCACTGTTGCTGTCCCAGCCTGGGTTCCTGCCCCACATGCGCAAGCACACTCCCAAATACA